AAAAAAAAAAAAAAAAGAACTCTGTAGCTATTCTACTGCTCTCCTTTTTGGCCCCAAATGTTGTGAAGAAGGCTGAAGACAGACTGAGTTTTCTATTTTTCCTGCTTGGAAATTCTCCTGATTCTTTCTTTACATAAGCAGTTTGGCAATTTCACGAAGATGTAGCTCAGTGTTCCTGTTTTTGTATCCATTTTTTTTTTTCTGAGTCAGAGTATGCCTTTCAAACACCTCCATATTTGAGCGTTTTACAAAAAAATTCTTTTTATTATACTTCTGAATATTTTTTACATTCATCTGTTTAACTTAGTAATACAAATTATATTACTCCTCACTGTTGGCTCTCCACTGTCTACCTCTTTCACAGCTTCTGTGGCTTCCTGATTACCATATGCCCAATTGTATTCAATCTTATTTATTCTAATTTGTTTGTTGCTTATAACCTATCTTAGACTTTCATTGCTCCCCAAACACTAGCAGCTTACTTTCTTCACTTTCCATCATCCTGTCAGTTCTTTAGGCTTTTTTAGAGTAATCATATTGCCTTAGTTTTTTTCAGACTTTAGAGAACTATTTGCCAGAGGTGTTCTACCTTTCCCCTGAATAGTTCCTCTTCTAATGAGGGTTTGTTTGTCCTTTGCTCATGTAATTTTCCTCTTCTTACTATGCGTAGGTCTTAATTTGTAATCATTTCATAATGAAGATTAATATTTTTGATTATTAATCACTTTTGATAAGGGCCACCTATTTACTGAATACCTGTATGTGGTGTAGTTGAACCTGGGTCAGTAGCTTTGATATAGGTATGTTGAATCAAACCCTTTCTCATCATGAAGTATTTCTTCTACCTCATGGCTACCCTTTTCCTTCAAATGTGGGCATTTAAGAGATTCATGGAGCTCACATAAACCCCTCAAATCATACCTCTCTGTATTGTTATAGTCACCATTTCTTCAGTCTTTATAGCCTCCATGGCCCAGACTGCTGGTTATAGATATTAAAAATGAAATATGCTTATGTTACTATTAAAAGCTGAGAACAAACTGAGGGCTGATGGGGGGGCGGGAGGGAGGGGAAACTGGGTGATGGGTACTGAGGAGGGCACCCGTTGGGATGAGCACTGGGTGTTGTATGGAAACCAATTTTACAATACATTTCACATTAAAAAAATAAAAATGAAATATGCTTCAGTTTCCCATGATTTCTGCCTCCTCTGCTACACTGCTTCTATGTATATTCCCTAATCTTCTCAAAACCTGGAAGCTACTTTCAGAGAAACCTGATCCCTGCTTCAGCTTATCAGCTTTCCAAAGCCTCCCCTCATTAGGATCTAGATTTAAAAAGAATTGGCCAATATTTGCCATCACGTGTGGCTTGAAGTTGTGGTCATTCTTTGTTAATCTCTTTTTAAGTTGTGCTCTTTTTGGTAAGTTGCACAAAACAGAATAGTAAAAAAAAAAACACCTTGACTTTGCTATCTTTAGTTGGAAGCCCTAATTTTACTCCTTAATGACATTGCTGAATCTATAACCCAAGACAGGGCCATATTTCTCAGGAGCTATGCAGTTTAAATAATATATGGTGATTCTATGTTAGCCTCTAGTGAGACTATAGTGTCTATAAAACAATAAAAGTTCATTTCCCATGCCAGGAAATCTTGGATGATATTCTTTAAGTTCAAAATATTTTTCCAGGGTATGTAAGCTGGCTACACCCTTTTAGAAAGGGAAATGAATAGCAAATGTATTTCTTTATCTGTAGGTGCATTAACACAGCAGTAAAGTACTTTCCCAGCAACCAAATTCTGCACATTTTAAATGTAACTTCTATTTTCACTTCCATTTTCTCTGCCTGGTGAAGAAGAGGAGTGTGTTTCAAGCTACAAAAATATTTTCTTGATGAAGTATAATAGCTACTTCTATGAACTTCTGCTCAAAAAATGCAATGCATAATAAATGCAATATATCAAACCAGTTTTTATTTGTGTTTGATAAATAGCCCAAATAATTGAGAACGAAGGTGGAAGGAATTGGAGAAAGCTAGATAACTAAGAATGGAAAGGAAATGCTTCAAAAGAAAAAAGACAAGTCTAATTTAGAACCCAGTCTAGGCATTTAAGTGTATTTTATTGAAGTTATCTCTTCTTATTGGATAAAAATTTTCATTTATAATTTCTGTGCTCTTTCAAGAAGTCAGGCACAGAATCTTTTTTTAAAAAGTACTCACTGAAAAAAATACAACCAAACAAAATAAGTAAAAAAGACCCCAAAATGTTAAATCAGCAATTTCATTCTTAGTATTTAGATAGTATGGAAGTTCCTCAAAAAATTAAACTTAGAGCTACCTTATGATCCAGCAATTCCACTTCTGGGTATATATCCAAAGGAAATGAAAACACTAACCAAAAAAGATATCTGCATCCCTGAGTTCACCACATTGCTTACAATAGCCAAGACATGGAGGCAACCTAAGTGGTCCATTGATGGATACAGAAAATGTGGTATATATACAAAATGGAATCTTTTATTCAACCAAAAAAAAAAAAAAAAAAAAAAAAAAAAAAAAAAAAAAAAAAAAAAAAAAGGAGAGTTGCCATTTGTGACAATATGGATGGACCCTGAAGGCATTATACTAGATGAAATAAGTTAGAGAAAGACAAATACCATATGGTCCTGGAAATATGTGGAGCCTTAAAAAAGCAAAAACAGAAAAAAAACCAAAAACCTCCAAAAACTTAACTCTTAGACACAGCGAACAGATTGGCAGTTGCCAGAATTAAGGGGTGGTGGGTGGATGAAATGGGTAAAGTGGTCAAAAGGTATAAACTTCCGTTTATAAATAAGTCATAGGGATATAATGTACAACATGGGGGACTGCAGTTAATAATACTGCATTGTATATTTGAAAGCCGCCAAGAGAGTAGATCAATCTTAAAAGTTTTCAGCACAAGGAAAAACTGGTAACACCATATGGTGATAAATGTTAACCAGACTTAAGGTAGTGATTATTTCACAACCACATATACATATCAAATCATGTTATACACCTGAAGCTAATAGGTTATATATTGGCTATATCTCAATTAATACTACATATATATGTGTGTGTGTGTGTGTATATGTATATACACACACACACACATATATATACACATAAATATGCATATACATACACACAGGTTTTAAAATTGAGCACAAATAAAAACCAGTTTAGCATACTGTATTTATTATGCATTGTATTTTTCTGAGAAGTTCATAGAGCTATTTTACTCCACCAAAGAAATATTTTTGTGTCTTGGAACACACATCTTTACAAGGCACAGAGTATGGAAGTAAAGACAGAGGACTTATGCCAGGACTCACTTTCCTAACGAGCCATAAAATTCAGCAGAGGAATAGAGTTTTGGACTTAAAATGACATCACTGGCACCCTCAGCTAGCAGAGTGAGTGGGCCAAACTTTCACCACCCTTCCCCTAGCGGGCTGTCTTCTCGCTCTCTTTGCCTCAGCCTTTTCTCCTGATTGGTAATTTTCCCCGCAGCCAGCACCTTCCTGCCTCAGCTTCGGGGGCTTTCCACAAGCGCTTTGCCAGCTCTGTTCTCAGAGGTTTCCCAAGTTTCCTCACGGTCGTGCGCCCCACTACCCACAATCAGCCATTTTTATAACAGTATGGGCTACCGGAGCAGTGGGTCTCCTTGTATAGAACGGCTCTTACTGTCTTTCTTCTGGAGCCTGGTGTTCCAGGGGGGCCTGGCCAGCCTCTTCTACCCTGTCAAATGAACAGACAGATGGGTTACAATAATTACACAGCCCTGACACACTTCCTCTTCAACATCAGCTTGTGCTCCAGGGAGGGTGGATGGGTACACACCAACTAGAGAGTTATTCTCCCTTTGGAGTGCTCCCACTGGTTATAAACCATACATCTATGTGGGCAATGAGGAACTACAGGACAAAATGCTAATGCATGGCTTCGTCTGTTCATCACCACTGTATAACTTGTGTTTGGGGTACAAGTTACCGAGTATTTAAATCAAACGATCCTCACTGTGTTGCCACAGAGTGGCTAACTGAAGCATGCCAATGTGTCAAGCTGGTTTGGATTTCTACCTTTGGACTTCATGTTCTGTTTTGTCAACCTTTGTAGATTAACATCCTTAGGTGAAAAAAACCTCACAATACTCCTAAGTCTTCCCAAAAGAGAAAATGAAGGAGAAATTATGAGTTTATAAGGAGATGTGTGAGACTTAACCTTTATCACTTAGTAAAAACGGCAAATAGCATATGCTGGTTTATGATGTGGCAGGTTACATCATCAGTAGGCTATTGATCCTAGTTTGTAGATGAGAAAATTGAGGTTTACACAAAGTGGCCCAAGGCCACAGAGCTGGTAAGGCACAGAGTATTGAAACAGGACCTGGGCCCCTCCCCAAAGTAAAGTTCTTTCCACCCTATCAGACGTCTCCTCCCAAGTGAAGTCACCAAGGGAACTTTCTCATCAAGAAGATCCAGAGAAACGCATTTTCCAGATAATTATTTTTAAAAGTCTGAGAAACAAGGCAAGATGATCCAATTATGATCTCTGAGGTTTCATGAAATTAATCCCAAGAGACTTATCTTGAGAGTATGGGCTGTATGGATCTACTAGATCTTTTCCTTTTTATCAGGAACTATGAGTAATAGGATGTCTTCTTAGGGTATGTGACTTCTGGACCCTGGGAAGGCTAACAACTCATTGATTAGTTTTTCTATCAGCTAGACCTACATTTTATGTTAGAGCTTAGACATTTGCATTCATAAATGAAGACCTCAAGGATAGGGCTTGATGAAGCCCATCACCCCAAATTCAGAAGAACAAGAGTGCGTTTCTGGAGTCCTCGAGTAGCAGATAAGGAGGAGGAAAACATATTTGTGCTCCTAAAAATATTCTTTCTGTATCAAGTAGGTCACATCCTAACAAGGTTACTCTCAAATGCCCACATAATTACTTGTCTTCCACGTTCTCCTTTCAAGCCCTTGGGTCCTTCTATTGTGCTGTCAAATCCAGGAACTCCCTAAAAACCAGAAAACAGAACAATTTTGAATATTTCTCCTTAAAAAGGTAACTGTCTATAACATATTTACTCACTGCCCACTGCCCGCCCCCACCAAAAATTGACAAGAGAAGTCCAATCCATTTGAAAGCATCAACAGGAAAACGTTACAAATGGCTTACACGTGATTTCTTTTCCTCCTGTGCTCTGCATTGTCAGTAGAGAGTGGGGACCTAAGGTGAATGTGTATGTGGGGAAGCAAGCGCTCACCATACATTTCTTGTCTCTTAACTTTTGTTCTTCTTTCCTGGGGTTTATGTTAAGTCTATACTTGAGGGTCGGTAGATTTTTACTCTCCCTACTTTTGGGAGAAGGCAGACGTTTGTAATGGGTTCTGCCACAAGAAAATAAGTACACCAGGGAACGCTGAGGACTGTATCTGCCACCCGTTCCCTCTTTGTCCTCTTGGATGCCTGGTAAGCCTTCTAGCCCCATACGGTCATTCCTACTTTTCCAATTTTCAGAAAATTCTGGAATCTCGCATTTTGTCCAGTATTTACACAAACAGTCCAGCAGGAACTCATTGAAAACAGGCAGATGTTGTGGGCTAGTATCCTTAGCAGGCCAAACTGAAAGTTTTTCGTGGGTAGTTAGGACCACCAATAGGGCAGTATCGCCATGGTGCTAGGATAATCAATTGAGCGAGTCAATTCAGTCAGTAAACTGAGAGGGGACAAGAATTATCCAGTCCTGCTGAGTGCCAGCTGTTGGGCTGTTTGGCTGATAGCAGCCCAGATTACCTTCATCAATCAATAAGTAATTTGAGATCACCAACAGGGAGGTGTCATTGTTCCAGATGCTTAGAAAGATTTTTAAACAAATAGTCTATACACTCACAGAGTTTATAGGCTAAGAGAGCAAAGAAGATGAGTTTAGAATTTACTTTATAACTAAGATTACCAGAATTTATGTGAAAAATTACTTCTCTTCCCCACATACCAAAGCCAAAGATTGTATTCTACATTTTCTGTTTTATTTTTAAGTCTAAATATTTGTCTGTTAAATTCTCCAAGAGGAGTGTAACTTAATTACAATATTAGAGAATTGTATTTTGGTGAAAATAGGAAAAGAATGGTAATGTAAAATCCAAAATTTTATTCCATTGGATGTAACACAACTTATTGCGATCCAACTCCGAACTATTTAATTGAAGAGATGACATTTTAAAAGTCATACACTAGCACATTCTATAGAATAGAGCATCCTAGTTTGCATGTGGACCCATTGTTTGGTCAGTCTGGCTAGATGATCTATCCATTGTTGTAAATGCAGTATTAAAGTCTCCTGCAATTACCACATTCTTATCAATAAGGTTGCTTATGTTTGTGACTGTTTTACGTATTTGGGGCCTTCTGAATTCAGTGCATAGACATTTATAATTGTTAGCTCTTCCTGATGGATAGACCCTGTAATTATTATATAATGCCCTTCTTCATCTCTTGTTACAGCCTTTACTTTAAAGTCTAGTTTGTCTGATATAAGTATGGCTACTCCAGCTTTCTTTTGACTTCCAGTAGCATGATAGAGAGTTCTCCATCTCCTCACTTTCAATCTGAAGGTGTCCTCAGGTCTAAAATGAGTCTCTTGTAGACAGCAAATAGATAGGTCTTGTGTTTTTATCCATTCTGATACCCTGTGTCTTTTGGTTGGAGCATTTAGCCCATTTATATTCAGTGTTATTATAGAAAGATATGGGTTTAGAGTGTGATATCTGTAGGTTTCATGCTTGTAGTGGTGTTTCTGGTACTTTGTGGTCCTTGCAACATTTCACTCACAGAGTCCCCCTTAGGATCTCTGATAGGGCTGGTTTAGTGGTGATGAATTCCTCCAGTTTTTGTTTGTTTGGGAAAACCATGATCTCTCCTTCTATTCTGGATGACAGGTTTTCTGGATAAAGGATTCTTGGCTGCGTATTTTCCCTGTTCATCACGTTGAAGATTTCCTGCCATTCCTTTCTCGCCTGCCAAGTTTCAATAGATAGGTCTGCTATTACCTTTATGTGTCTACCTTTGTATGTTAAGGCCCGTTTATCCCTAGCTGCTTTCCGAATTCTCTCTTTATCCCTGTATTTTGCCAGTTTCACTATGATATGTCGTGCAGAAAATCGATTCAAGTTACGTCTGAAGGGAGTTCTCTGTGCCTCTTGGATTTCAATGCCTGTTTCCCTCCCCAGATCAGGGAAGTTCTCAGCTATGATTTGTTCAAGTACAACTTCAGCCCCTCTCTCTCTCTCTTCTTCTTCCGGAATTCCTATGATACGGATATTGTTCCATTTGATTGCATCACTTAGTTCTCGATTTCTCCCCTCATACTCCTGGATTTTTTTTTTCTCTTTTTCTCAGCTTCCTCTTTTTCCAAAATTTTATCTTCTAATTCACCCAATCTCCCCTCTGCCTCTTCAACCCGCACTGTGGCTGCCTCCATTTTATTTTGCACCTCATTTATAGCATTTTTAAATTCATCATGGCTAGTTTTTAGTCCCTTGATCTCTGTAGCAATAGATTCTCTGCTGTCCTCTATGCTTTTTTCAAGCCCAGCAATTATTTTTATGACTATTATTCTAAATTCTTGTTCTGTTATATTGCTTAAATCGTTTTTGATCAGTTTGTTAGCTGTCACTACTTCCTAGAATTTCCTTTGAGGAGAAATCTTCCATTTCATCATTTTGGCTAGTTTTCTGTACCTTATCGTTTTAAAAGCTTGTTGTGTGCTCTGAACCTCTTAGCAGCCATTGAAGCCTCTGTTTACTCATCTGACTTCCCTGTGTGAACACCTCCTCGTCCTCCAGGATTTTCAATGCCATCCTTCTCAAAGAACTCAAGAACTTATACACGCAGAAATTTAATTCTGAAATTAGTATTTGGGTATTTTCTAAATCTCAAGCTTTCAGCCCCAGCTTATGTGCTTCCCATCACTGGGTCAGCTCCTACCTCCATGCCTCCCTCCCTTTCGTTTTCATTTTCACTTCCCAGCAATGTGGAAGATGCCAGTGGGCAGGTGCACCGCTGTGCCTTCTTCTGCACCTCAACCTGGGCTCCACTGGGTCGCTCCCACTAAAAGAGTACAGCGCCCCAACCACCATACAGACCTACAAACCCCGTGAGGAGGGAGTGGGCGGAGCAGGCGTGGACCTACGTGTCACCCGCCTGGCAGCCACACCAACGTCCAAACGTCAGCTCCCCTGTTTGGTCAGTCCGAATATGAATTGTCCAGTCTGTCAATTTCTTCCTATGCAACTGGACCAAAGAGCGTCATCTAACACAAACTGATAAAACGTGGACTTCTAACAATGATATGCTTTAGAATGACGAACCTCACTAAACTGTAGCTGAAATGATCTAATTGAGTTTTCTCCCCAACATCACATGAGATTACATGAGATTTTCAAAAATGGGAAATTCCCAACAGACAAACTAGCTTTCATTTGATCAGCAGTTGACTGAATAGGCACAGATTGTAAGGAATTTGGGCCATTTGTATGTATTCTATGAATAATCTGATCATATGTGGATTCTACGTATCCTATCTTGCTCTCCAAATTTTCCTGAAATAGTAACCCACAAAAACCACATGTGAAAAAGCTCAGGGTTGGCACAAAAACAGACACATAGACCAATGGAATAGAATAGAAACCCCAGAACTAGACCCACAAACGTATGGCCAACTCATCTTTGACAAAGCAGGAAAGAACATCCAATGGAAAAAAGACAGTCTCTTTAACAAATGGTGCTGGGAGAACTGGACAGCAACATGCAGAAGGTTGAAACTAGACCACTTTCTCACACCA